CAGGACACTCTTGTGGGACACTCTTGTAGGAAACTCTTTTGGGACACTCTTGTGGGACACTCTTGTGGGACACTCTTATAGGACACTCTTATAGGACACTCTTGTGGGACACTCTTGTGGGACACTCTTGTAGGACACTCTTGTGGGTCACTCTTGTAGGAAACTCTTGTGGGACACTCTTGTAGGACACTCTTGTGGGACACTCTGCACTCTTGTGGGACACTCTTGTGGGACACTCTTCTGGAAAACTCTTGTGAGACACTCTTGTAGGACACTTGTGTGGGTCAGTTGCAGGACACTCTTGTGGAACACTCTTGTAGGACACTCTTGTGGGACACTCTGCACTCTTGTGGGACACTCTTGTAGGACACTCTTGTAGGACACTCTTGTGGGACACTCTTGTAGGACACTCTTGTGGGACACTCTTGTAGGACACTCTTGTGGGACACTCTTGTGAGACACTCTTGGGGGACACTCTTGTGGGTCTCTTGTGGGTCACTCTTGTAGGAAACTCTTGTGGGACACTTTTGTAGGACACTCTTCTAGGACACTCTTGTGGGACACTCTTGTGGGACACCCTTGTGGGACACTCTTGTAGGACACTCTTGTGGGACACTCTTGTGGGACACTCTTGTGGGACACTCTTGTAGGACACTCTTGTGGGACACTCTGTAGGACACTCTTGTGGGACACTCTTGTGAGACACTCTTGAGCGAGACTGTTGCGGGACACTCTTGTGGGACACTCTTGTGGCACACTCTTGTGAGACACTCTTGTAGAACACTCTTGTGGGAAACTCTTGTGGGACACTCTTGTGGGACACTCTTGTGGGACACTCTTATAGGACACTCTTGTAGGACACTCTTGTGGGTCACTCTTGTAGGACACTCTTGTGGGACAGTCTTGTGGGACACTCTGTGGGACACTTGTGTGGAACTCTTTGTGGGACATTCTTGTAGGATACTCTTGTGGGACAGTCTTGTAGGACACTCTTGTGGGACACTCTTGTGGGACACTCTTGTAGGACACTCTTGTGGGATACTCCTGTAGGACAGTCTTAAGGGACACTCTTTTGAGACACTCCAGTGGGACACTGTTGCGGGACACTCTTGTGGGACTCTCTTCCAGCTCCGCAGATACTCCGCGTACTAAAGTTGTACTACAAGGTCGCCAGTTCTCAGCTTCCAGCTCCCCAGATACTCCACGTACTACAGTTGTACTACAAGGTCGCCAGTTCTCAGCTTCCAGCTCCACCGGACAAATCGCACTCTCGCCTGCATTTCGCGCACTCAACACGCGCGATCTCCGCAGAGGGTTGCGCGCGCATGGGACAAATCGCACTCTCGCCTGCATTTCGCGCACTCGACACGCACGATCTCCGCAGAGGGTTGCGCGCGCATGGGACAAATCGCACTCTCGCCTGCATTTGGTGCACTCGACACGCACGATCTCCGCAGAGGGTTGCGCGTCAAGTCTCCAAAACGAGCGTTTCGTACGAGACTTCCTCAAAAACTCACACGTCAAAGTCTGCAAAACCAGCGTTTCGTACGAGACTTTCTCCAAAAGTCAAGCGGAAACACCCATCGGAGCACACACATCACGCAGCCCTGCCAAGCAGTTTCGTGATTCCAGCCCCTCCAAACAACATCCGCTCACACGCCAATCCCAATGTGACAGCGACATTCACCTCTACCACAACTCACAACCTCACGATTCCCTGCGCCTGCCACGAATCTTTCCCCATCCGCACGTCTAACGCGCACAAAGTACTGCGCCTGCCACGAAATGTCACCTCCCTCACACCTCGCAACCTCACGATTCCCCGCGCCTGCCACGAGAATCGCACTTCCACGCCTCAAAACCCGCACGAAGTCCTGCGCCTACCACGAAAAGTGACAATATCATCGCATGTGAGCTTCAACAAAATTTGCACCACACCACACGTTTGGACTCCCAGGGTCCAAAATCGGCATTTCAGCTGAGACGTGTCACGAAAACAGAGCTTCGATGCCACACCCTGAAACGCAACTCCCAATGGCACGGCCACATCCAACACCCCAAAAACGCTAATCCCAATAGCACTGCGCAGCAAACTGCGGATCTCACAAAACGCTGCGCCTGTGCAGCGAAATGCATCACGTTTCTTGCGCGACATGTCGGTGTCATGCAAATCACAATGGAATAGCGCCGCAAACTGGCACGTGACACATCCATGAAAAGTCACTTGCAAAAGCTTCCCCCCCAATGGCAGCAAATTTGAGACGCGACGACGACGACAAACGACGAGAGACGACGACGCGACGCAAGCCACGCGAACACAGCTCCAACCCCCAGACCCCCAACTATAAACGGGAACCCTTCGCTACGCATTCGGGAAAAATTAAAATCTCCGAAACAGGCACATTTTCGATATTTTTTTATGTTTTTTTTATGTTTTCAATATGTTTCCATTTATGATTTTTTTTAATGCTTTTTTTAATGATTCCGCGCGGTGCGCCTCCGCAGGTGTGGGTAGGACGCGGCGCGGTGGCTGGGAAGGTAGCGGCGAGGTCTGTAGGTTGCGCAGTGGCCCCTCGAGAGCTGCTGCGTCCAAAGTGTAGAGGAGGTCATCTAGAGCTGGCCAGGTCTGCCCGGCCTGTGGCCGGCCCTGTGACGCTGAGGAAGGGGCCGTTATGAATTTTGCCATGTGTGCACGCGCGGCAGAGAGAAGCTTAGTCGTGTTCCTGGTCATGGTCAGTGCCTTGCTTGTTGGTTTCAGTGCCTGCCTGCTGGTTTTACTGGGAGCGGTCATTTCTACGTCTAGGCAGAAGTCTGGCTTTTTACGACGCAGTCAAAAGTGAGTTGGTTTGCGTTGCTAGAGCCTAAAGCCCGAGCCTTGCCTCACGCTTTACGGGTCGTACCCACACCATTCACATAGGACGCAAAGCTAGGTTAGCGTGATTGACATATATCCAGGGCCTGTATTCGCACTGCAGGCAAATTTTGACTGCTGGGAGAGGGTTTGCATAGTTTCTTTTGCAGAGTGAGTTTTTTAATTTATATACTTGGCTGGAAACCAATGCTTTGCAAACCAATTGTTTTAATGCAAGAACCATAGGACAGAAACAGAAGCCCTGAAGAGGCAATGACATTTAAGCATCAAGGACATTTGATGAAAAACAGTGTGCTTTATTAAGAAACATTAAAAACATAAATGAAAACATAAATGAAACCATTAAAAAACATCAAAATATCAGAAAAAATAAAATCACTTAAACGGCCTTGTGGCTCACATTTTGACTCACAAATCTACACTTCAAGGTCCACAAAGTACTGCGCTTGCCACGTGCAAACGAGCCACGTGTCCAAAGTCACGATTCACTGCACCTGTCACGAAATTAGAGCGCGTCGAAGATCGCCACCATGTCCGAAGTGCTGCACCGGCCACCACCAAAGCACGAGGTTTCCCTTGCGCTTGCCACAAAAAATGACCATCGTGTCCGAACATGCGCGCGACACCACAACGAGAGCGCAGTCCCGACAAGCACCCACCGCCCCCTCGCAAATTTTGCGAGCCTGTGCAGTCGAAGTGCACTTCGAGGATTTTGAGAGGCATGAATGCATTGTAAATAGCAGCGAACTAGCCGGACACGCCCGTGCAACACCTCGATTAGACACCGGTGCTTGACCACTACTGCAAGAACCCCTAGTGTGTCCACACTGTTAGGGGAAAAACTTGGATTCCTCATGTTTTTTCTTGTTTTTGTGAAGCAACCGATGCTCATATACCATTAAAGGACATGTTGTGGCTTGAAAGCATGATTATGGGCCGACTCCCGCTTGACGAGTGCAGAAGAAAAGGGAACCGCTTTTGACGGTTCATGTCACGCAGGGTCCATCGTAATGTTGAAGGATGCTGCAAATGAGTCCAATATTGGGGTAGGTTGCGAACTTGGTGGGACTACCTCTCAACTTATTCATATTTATTGTATTTGGTTTGACTAATTTGGAAGAACACTGGAACTCGTTTTATCTTTGAGATGACATCCACCTTTGAAGGCTTTGCAAGATCTTTTGGAGGGAGCAGTGAGCCCTGGAAGGCGATGTTTTCTTTCCCTGCTTGGTCTTTCTCTCTTTTTCTTGCCCTTCCTAAGCTGAACGGAGAAAATTTGGTCGTCGTGGTTCGCCGAGTGGGGTTCTGTATACCTCGCCGCAGAAGAACCGCATGACAACCGTGCGGCTCCATTCGCTTCAAGTTGGAAATAAGGCATTTGCACATTGAATGAACATTTCAATGAAGAGGTCTGATGCTGTTTGTGTTTGCTTTCTCTGGGGTTGCTGGGGACCCCTGCCTAGCTGAGACACCTGATACGCTGACATTGAGACCCCGTGTGCTACGCGAGATGCTCTACCACATCAGACCTCCTCCAACACCCCTGCTGGTAGTTCAGCGCAATATGAATGCATCTGCTTTATAGTCTTTGGATGTCACGAAAGGGGCTGTTTGTCCCCTGGTCACGCGGTTTGCCACAGGGTTCGACAAGAAGGCCAATGTTTGGAAATCCTTCCACTGAAAGGACATCTCAAGCACGCGAACAAGATAGTTGGTTAAAAGATCCCAAACGTATTTGTTCTCTAATTGACGTGAAGTTGTCTTCTTGGCAAACTCGGCTCATGTGGCATGCGTGGCAGTGCATGGCATGGCCCGCAACTTTCATTCAGATCATCCCCCGCCACGACCAGACACACTGTTGAGCCGGACTGACGTTCCAGCATCAAGTCTTGGAAAAAGGCCGCGAGGAAGTTCTTATTTTGGTACGAGCTTCAATTGTATGTTTCTTCAAGATGAACGTCAACTGGAACAGGAGTTGAGATCAGTTTTCATTGGACAGACATATTGCAAATGAGTCCAATATTGGGGTAGGTTGCGAACCTGGTGGGACTACCTCTCAACTTATTCATATTTATTGTATTTGGTTTGACTAACTTGGAAGAACACTGGAACTCGTTTTATCTTTGAGATGACATCCACCTTTGAAGGCTTTGCAAGATCTTTTGGAGGGAGCAGTGAGCCCTGGAAGGCGATGTTTTCTTTCCCTGCTTGGTCTTTTTCTCTTTTTCTTGCCCTTCCTAAGCTGAACGGAGAAAATTTGGTCGTCGTGGTTCGCCGAGTGGGGTTCTGTATACCTCGCCGCAGAAGAACCGCATGACAACCGTGCGGCTCCATTCGCTTCAAGTTGGAAATAAGGCATTTGCACATTGAATGAACATTTCAATGAAGAGGTCTGATGCTGTTTGTGTTTGCTTTCTCTGGAGTTGCTGGGGACCCCTGCCTAGCTGAGACACCTGATACGCTGACATTGAGACCCCGTGTGCTACGCGAGATGCTGTACCACATCAGACCTCCTCCAACACCCCTGCTGGTAGTTCAGCGCAATATGAATGCATCTGCTTTATAGTCTTTGGATGTCACGAAAGGGGCTGTTTGTCCCCTGGTCACGCGGTTTGCCACAGGGTTCGACAAGAAGGCCAATGTTTGGAAATCCTTCCACTGAAAGGACATCTCAAGCACGCGAACAAGATAGTTGGTTAAAAGATCCCAAGCGTATTTGTTCTCTAATTGACGTGAAGTTGTCTTCTTGGCAAACTCGGCTCATGTGGCATGCGTGGCAGTGCATGGCATGGCCAGCAACTTTCGTTCAGATCATCCCCCCCACGACCAGACACTCTGTTGTGCCGGACTGACGTTCCAGCATCAAGTCTTGGAAAAAGGCGTGCGGAGGAAATTCGCACCGTGACAGGCCCCACCTTGGTTCGGTGGATTTTGTTGAATCTAATTGAATCTATCTTCTTTGCTTGTCTTTCTTTTGGGGGAAGACCATCGGGTGGGGTAAGAAGTGGCTAGTGAGAGCCAGCTAGCAGCAAGGAAGTAACTTGGACGAAACAGTTCTGATTCCTGTTTTTCAAATCACGGCTATTTACATTCAAGACATTTCAAGACCCCAGGGACCGTGACGCAAGAATGACGGAGTTCTTCTGAATCCGAGTCACCGAAGCATGTTTCAGGTACTACTCCCGTGCAGTCGATACCATTCGTAAGGCTCGGTGTGTGACTACGACCATATTTGGTTGTAGGCCATTGCTAGTAGGTTGGAGGCCATTGCCAGGAGGGCAGTGCTAGTAGGTTGGAGGCGAGTCTTTTGTCGCTTCGTGTGTCAGAGGCGCGTCCAAGCTTAGCTAGCCGGGGCAGGCTGGCATGCATGAGAGCCGCGTGGCGGTGGTGCTTCCGATCTTCCAGCGCCCGGAAGGCGGACATTGGGTTCGGAACTTTATGTAACAGGTCAATGGTCGGGAAGGAGTCATTTCCAAGAAGACCTTTACACAAGTAACCAAATTCTATCAACATTCTTTATGTATACGATAATATATGTATATATTTTTAAATATAAGGCCTTTTAATCAGCACAAATAGTACTCGTAGAGTCCAAGACTCAAGGTGAGTTGTTTCACAGTTTTTGAAAGAAGGTGAAAGAAGCAGTATCTTGGAACCAAGGGGTTGGTCCCGGGGTTGGTAGAAACCTTCATTTCCTACGGTCTGCTAGTAAAGGGGAAGTAAGAAAGTGTTTGACTTACTAAAGAAAGATCCGCACTGATTTAGGCTCTATCCTGTGTCCTCCCATGAAGTCATGCTGATATGTCTAGAGATGCTACAGGTGAAGAAGCCTTCATTGCGAAGTGGGCCAAGACAACTCAAGGAAGGCACCGTAACGTTTGCTTTGATGTTCATTGCTACCACTGCAGCTTGGCAGCAATTGCGTGCAAGTTCTGGTTGTCAGGTTGTGGGAAAACATTGTCAAGCCCTTCGTCTACTATTTTGTATGTGGATTTTTTTGGGTCTAGGATTCTGGAGGATGTGGCAGCAATCAGTTGTGTGACCCTGGTGTTGCAACTGTAGAGTTGTAGATTCCCAGGGAATTGCAACTGCCACTGAGCAGCTGAACAAGACATCTCCAGCTCATATTGAATTTTGAGGTTGCCAAAGCATGCCAAGACCAGCAACTTTGATTCAAGGGTTGCTCTTGCAAGCTCTGAGGCTTTGAAAACCAGTTCCATGGAAAAACTTTTGCTGAACAGCTCAGGGCTGTTGAGGACTTGCCACTTCTTTGCACCCCCAAGCCTTTCGTTTTGGGAGTAAGTCTTTTTTTGAGCTGCTCTGGCTGCTCCCAAAGGAGAACAGCAAGATGTTCCAGCGCTACCCGATGGTGGCAGGCGACAGCCCGTCCAAGTCAGTCCAGGTTACAAGTTACTAAACGGGGAAGGCTGAAGCCCTTAGGCTCCGAAAGGAAAGAACGAAGCAGATAAGGATAGGTAATGAAAAGCCTCGACAAGGAAAAGTGAAGAAGGGCGAGTGAAGTTGTCATTTTTGAAGGAGAGTGGGCACTTGGCTTGGGCCGAGCCACCTGGTGTACCTGCGGCGACATGGATGAGGACACCACCTGCGAAACCGCTCATGTGATTTTCCGTTTGATGCACTGGGACAGGACACAGTGATCAGCATTTTTGGTGCCCAGCAGATGGAAGCTTTCAGGCAGATCGCGCCAAGTCACTTATTTCAGTTGCTTCGATGCTTAAAGGAAGGGAAGGACAGAGAGAGGACATCTTGTTAAGTTCACAAGAAAGACATCCAGGGTTCGTGCACCCAGGGATCCAGACTTCAAAGTGTGTTGTGTCACCTACAAGAGCTGTGGAGATCTTGCAGCGGAACCTCTTCGGAACACCGGCGGTGAAACCTTCTCGCTCCAACCACGAACCTATCCTGCAGGTGTCGCCATTCAGTATGCATTGATTCGGGACTTTGGCTCAAGTTGCCTGAAAAAGGCGCGCAGCACTCGATCCTTTAACCCTAGGCCTATTCCTCAAGCGTCGCGAACCCGCATTCTTGGAGCTGACTTGCTGTCACATATTTGTGGTAAGCCAGAAGGCATGGACTTGGATGCTGGATCAGATTCCGCACTGGTTGAGCAGGATCGGTTGCATGATCTCATAGTCATAGTCTCTTCGGCCCTGAGTGCTAAGGCTTTTGCAGACAGAGTAGTTGACCATATGCAAATTCTGTTGGTCCATGCCATGTCCATGCCAAACGTGTGATCAAGTTCATCAGGCGCCAGCCCTATGGAGAAAGACGCGAAAGACAAAAGACTCGATGTTCTGAAGCCTGACTTGGAGAAGCCAATTCTCAGGAATCCTGGGACAGTGCCTTCTTGAACCGGCTGGGGAGGCTGTAAAAGAATGGTTGCGGAGCGATCTTCAATCCAAGGCCAAGTAGGTGTGCGTCCTGATTACGTTGAGGCAGGAGGCAGAGGTTGTCCCTGAAAGGGGTGAGTGGGGGCATTCAAAAAAAGCTTTTTCCTTGAACCGCATGTTGACTCACTTGCCCACAAGCCGGCCCATATGCAAGTTAGGGCATCACTACGCCGTTGACTACTGGGTTCTTGATCATGGAGTGACTTTGCAATGGGCTCAGAAGGAGAGCGCGCTTTGTTTGTTATGGTCATGTTCTTCGCCTTTGGATAAAAACGCTTCAAAGTGGTTACATTGCGCGCTTGATGCGTCTCGGCCACAATTCATGCGGAAAGCCTGCGCTAAGCTGAATCGCCTTGACCCCTTCTTTGACTATTCCGATGTTGCTGCCACATCCAGCCAAGGTACTTCACAGCTTCAGTGCATCAATTTTAAGGGCTTTGCCATGACCTTTGGTTCTAGCCAAAAGTTGGAAAGCAGCGTTTTGCTTCAACTCCTCAGCATGCCCACAGCGCCCCTTCATCTAAACGAATCAGGGGAAGCGAAGAGGCGCAAGACGTGTAGACATGTTTTGAGGTGGCCAACAATGGTGGCCCTTTTGAAGGACGAAGTTCCACTAAGAGCGCTCATGTCAACAAACCTGCGAAGAAAACAAAGCGGGCCGGCTTTCGAGCCAACAGTTTCCGTAGGATGGAGACTTGGCTAACGCTAGATTATCAGAGAGTGAGGACTAATGAAATAGGGCGTTATCCTGGAAGAGTTTTGTTCTCGCTCGATGATTCTAAGTCTAGCAGCTAGCGTATGAAGGCGCGGCAACAACTCTTGAACACCCAAGGCCTGAAAAGAGCGACCTGCTTTGGAGGGCTGTGGGCTGCAAAGGTCATGACCTAAATTTGAGAAAGGCAATGGGAGCGCTTCGATGGAAAAAGAGCGCCTGACGGCTGAGGCGTTGATGTTCTGGGCTCCTAATGTTCCAGTCAATCGAAACCTTTCTTCAAGTTACTGAGCAAGAGGCGTTGTCAGACCCAGAAAGTGTTTCTTCGGTCCTGTAGGCAAGGACAGACCCACCAGTGCATTTGCCGCACCTTGACAAGCCAAAAGGGGTAGGAGTCAGAGCTGCAGTGGCTTGAAAAGCTGCTGTCTCGGATGTTCGTCAAGTTGACATTGAGTGACAGACTGAGCATGGCTGAGCTGTCCGCATCTCCTTAAAGTAACCTTGCTTGTCGAATCACCAAGGTGCGACCGCTCGACCCGCATGCGAGGCAGACGCGCCTAGTAAAGCTTATGCGTCGGCGGTTCAGATAGTTCACGAAGGATGCTCAACAAAGTTCAGGCGAGTGCAAGAACTTAACGTTCGCAAACTGAACTTTGAAGACTTGAGCTACCCAACCGTAAACTTCAAGTACTGTAGAACTTTCGCGAACGTCTAGAACATCAAGCGCCATAGAACTTTCGCGAACGTGTAGGGTCGGTCAACTGCCTAAAGCTGGTTTTGCTGGGCCTCCGAACGCTTCTGGTGAAACCATACAAGGTGCGCCTTTCTCAGGGCAAGTGTGGCAAGTATTCAGTGCATGTTGTGTCACCTACAAGACCTTTGGAGACCATGCGCCGGAACCTCTTCGGAACACACCAGACGTGAAACCTGGCTCCAACCGGGAACCTATCTTGGAGGTGTTGGCCAATCCTTGAACCGTAGAATTGGCGAAGAACATTGCAAAACACCTAATGTATGCAGTGGTTCGGGACTTTGGATCAAGTTGCCTGAGCAAGGTGGCGGTGCTCGGGAAAGACCGGAAACGGTGTGCCACTGCCTGATTTGTTTTTTAGATCCCGAAAAATCTGGCATTCTTGGGCTTCTGTAGCTTTCTAGAAAACAAATCAATCACGTTTCCGGGCACGTCTGTAGTAGCTAGGTAAGCCTTCTAGCTACTGTGCCCTCCCTTTTCACGGGCGTTCGCAAAAAAATGGGCAAGAACAGAACGGAAAAAACGACAAAGAAACAGACACATTCTTGCTTCAAAACTGGGGTAATGATGTCCAAGGCCTAAGGGTGCATGGTCAGCACTACCATGGCCCCTGTCGTTTTGGAAGCAGTTGGGTTCCGTTTTCCATAGTTTTGCTAAGTGTCATCAGAAAAAAACGAAGCAAACGCACAAAGGACAAAAACAGACAGGAACAGTTTAAAGGTTTCAGACAAGCGGGAACAGATAACAAAAGACAAAAGCAACGAAACATGTAGATAGGTCCAGTACCCAAAGATTGTAGGGATAAAAAAGGAACGCGTTTCTTGTTGTCAGGAATTCCTCCCATGGCTCCTTCTTTTGGAATTGGAAGGAGGATCCCGAAGACAAGGCCCCAAACCGGCGCCGCTGGAAGTGTGAGCTGAACGCATCGGCGCTCTTTTAAGTCTTGCAAAAACTGCATTTGTTTTCAAAATTGTCAAATCAATTTTCCTGTGACACTTCAACAAATTTTGCGTTCAAAGATGGTCATTACATATATAATTGGACACGACTCCCATAACCCCGATGGCCACGATATTGTTTTCCGCGTGACGCCTATCCACTTCCAGGAGTGGAATTTCCAGTTGGCCTACGAGCAGGGCCTTTTGAACCGCCCAGCACTGGCCCTTCCACCTTGGGATCACACCGGCGAGGATCCCCTCGAGGAGAATTGCGGAGAACACGCCCAAGACTCGTGAGTCGCGACCTTCAGTCGACCTTTTGCGACCTTCGAGCGACAGGATATTCTACATCCGTCTCCAGAAGATCCTGTAGTTTACTATGGTCTCTCAGTTTGCACTGAAGAGTCAACGCAGAAGGCAGCTCAGTGATATGGAAGCCCAGCGAACGGTTGAACCACTTGCACTCTTTGTTTTCCTAGTCGAAGCACTTCTTAGGTGACACAGTCTACCTCCGAGTCTTTCACGGTATGTACATGGATGTGCAGGGACGCCAGGCACAAAATTGTTTCAAACAGATGACGATGTGGATGTCACAAGATGACTGGGTATCAGCCCATCAGGAGCATCTTTCTTCTTTGGCTTTCAGGGGCGCCTTTTTGTCTCTGTTGACCATCTGCAGGTGGATTGTTCGTGGGCCGACAAAGGGCAGTGGCAGGTTGGAGCATTATTCACTTGGGCTGCGTAGATTTGATTTGAACATATTTGAACAAGATGACTTTAGAACGGAGAACTCAAGATTGCTGCGCATCAAGCCTCACTTTCCTTGAAGAACTCTTGTTGGCTCTTCTTGTATGCTGGACGAAGCTTCCAGTTCTCTTAGCTAGGCCTTCATATTCCACGAAGCCTGGCCCTGCAAAGAGCCTCGGCCACTAGTTAGACCTATAGATAATCGATGAAAGGAACTGATGAGACATGGAGATGCCAAGACATGAAGCATGTGCTTGAAAAAAAGTGGCTCACAGAGGATAAGCAGACCTCTTCGAGGCCATGTGAGACTTGTTATTTGTGCCTTGTTTGCCTCCACATGTCTGGGAGATATGTTTCCATGTTCTCGTCAGGCGTCCCGTGAAGCATCGGGACATTGTTCGGATCCAGGGGCATAACAAGCACTTTGTGGCAGTGACCAGCCTCTTGGCTAGAGCGTTTTCTCCACTCATGGCCTTGCAAGTTCCCGACCCGACCCTGGCACTGCAATTGTTAAGATTGGAGCGATATGTGGCAACATCAGCTCCCAAGCATCAAAAGCGGCGTAGGTTCCAAGCATCTTTCTCTTCCAGAACGCAGAGAATTACAGTAATACTGTTGGTATGCACAATGAATCAAGTCACAACTAAGGTTCGGCTTCTGAGGGTGCTCCTGTGACGTGGCTCATGTTCGTTTGTTCTTTTTCATCGACTGGCCTCCTGGAAAGACATGCCATTGTGATGTTGGTCCCAAGGTTGTCGCAACCAGGAAGCAGAGTGGTAGAGAAACTGAATTCGAGGTGGGGAAGCTGCTTGAAAGCCACACTGCTGGAATGGTAGAAAGAATCTCATCAAGGGAGCCAACAGTTCCCAGCTTGTTGTGTTCGATCAGTATCGGTGACACCAGGTCTTTCTGGAGAGTTCCTCAATACTGAAGCATCGTGGGAAAGCGTGATTTCCTCAGACCGCTTTTGTTTTCAGCCCCTGTTCTCGCTACTCCTTTACGTCATGTGGACGCACATGCATGGACCCATCTTCTGGAGGTTTTCTCGGAAAGCCTTTGAAGATGAGGAACACCATTTTTACATGTTTTCTTTCTTTATCTTATCAACACTTTGAAGATGAGGTACTTTTTCAGCCGGGCGACCTCCACCACCATTGACGCAGATGATGAGGCAGACGGCATCTTCGCACGATGGGCAGACTTCGGCGATTGGCAGGTCAGAATCCAAGCCGGTGAAGCGTTGGACCGGAAATCTACGACAAGACTGATCACAGAGAACATTAGCGTCACAAACTTTGATCGATTCCCTGCATCATCACAGGTAGAAAGACTTCTTTTTCCTGTGTTGAACCATGCGTTTTCTTCGCTACGTCCTTGCTAAGGCCATTACAGTGGAAAGGCCACCCGAGCTGCAGCGTGCGGTGGCATTGCCACAGCCATTGCCACAGCCGCGTCCACGACGTCGGACGAAAGGCCATAAAGAGAACAACAACATCTTGTTAGAGTGACTTATACTGTATAGTGTTTTCATTTGTTCAATTCGAGTAGGCATGAAGCAATTTGTGAAATTTGGCACAGGTCCTCCTGGACCCAAAGACAGTGACTGCCTGAGACGGAGCTACGGTTGGCTGGCAATTCGTTTGAGCTTCCTTTGAAGCTCCATTGTGGAACGTACGGGTAACAGCTAGTTGTGAGTGTAACATGTCCGTTGGGTGGTTGGGTGGGTGAGTGTGCAATGGTGCCTATGTTGGCTCAAGCCATTGCACCCACCCCAGATTCCTTCAAACCCCGATACGTCAACTGGAGGGGGTGGGGGGGGAAAGGCGTGTGAAGACACCGAAGTGAACGAGCCGGCCTTTCTGCTGTTGAGCAAGATCACAAACTCTGTTGAAGCGGTTGAGGGTGATACGAAGACCGGACAGAGAAGAGTCAGGAAGCCCTGCAGAACAGGCGGCAGGTTGAACGATTCAATGCAGATGGCAAATACATCACGAATCGTACAGGGTACGAGTTGTGTGGAGAGTTCAACAGCGGCGCTTGTTCAGACGCAATAAAAGGCCAGTGGTGCCCCCGCAGTATGGAACACTGTACATCAGTGTGACAGGTGCCTTGGAACACACCCTTCACCGGTGTGCCCTCATCAGGGGATGCCGGAGCCAGGACTCCTGAGGAGAGCGGCAAGGGCAAACAACAAAGGAGGCAAGGAGGGTGGGTTCAAGAAAGGCAAAGGGGGCGAGAAGCCTCCACACTAGCGACAACGAGCTGCGTGAGGAGTCTGGACAACAGCTTGGTGCAAAGGTAGTTGAGACGGACTTGAAACAAAATTCAACAGTTCAACAGCCTCTGCTTCAGATACAGTCAGTGGGGCTGGAGGTGGCAAGACTTGATATACTTGGCTGAACATGGCTTCAACGTAGACTATGGACCGCGAGATCAGTGAGATGCATGGTCTTCTGGACCAGGGTGTCTGGGAGGGGTACAAGTTGAATTTGTCACTGCGTGTTGCAAGCGTGCTTTCACCTCCCGTGCAGTACCTTTTCACCTGCAAGCGCGTTTCCTTCACGCACTTTGCGTTTGTCTTCAGGCTTCAAGTTCTTCAGGCCATAGACTCCTGGCCCCTTTGCGGGCCTAAGCGGTTGTGGTCCACCCCGACTCCCTTGGCACTCACGGCCCATAAGCTGCGACAGTTGCGCAATGAACGGCAGGCCGTGGAACAATGCATTGGGGGGGAAGGCAAGGTGTCGATGCTTGCCCTACCCTAGTTCCAGAAGTTGATGTTCAAGCCCAAGCCAGGAGCTTGAGTTGTCGTGCAATCCCCCAGGATCACGGGAGCCCGGGATTGGTTTGTCATGAGATGGGCCCGATCACAATCCAGCTGCTTGGTCGATGGGATGAGAAGCTGTGCTCGCCTACATAGCTGAATCACCTGTGGGGGGGTTGCGCAAAGAAGTTGATAGGTAGGTGCGTTCTACAGTTGGTGAGAGCGGTCCGAGCGGTCAGTCAGGCGATAGACAATCAGAGTTTTCTGGATGTTCCGGGCGGATCTCGATGAGTTAGCAGACGAGATCAAGAAATGAAAACGTGACAGACAACTCCTGGCGCAGAAGGCTGACGGACTTGAGGTGGACATGTCATATAGGTGAATGAAGAGCTAGAAGGAGTCAGCGTAGCTTTGGACGGCCAGGTGATTGTTGAACACCTGGACAAAAGACAATATTGCGACCGGGTGTAGACACGCGGCGAAGGTCAGACGTGATCAATCACCCATGCAATGCAAGATTGCGTGCGGATGGCCAATTGGTCGGGAAACCAACGCCAAGACTTCCCGCCCGCCTGATGTTGCCGATAATTCACTTGCGCGATTATGCCCCACATGTTTTCCCGACGCAGAAAGCACCTCCTCTGACGATTCTAATGCATCAGAGTTGCTAGATTAGAAGCATGCTTTAATCCGTGTGACTCAACATGTACCTGGTGAATGCAACCAGCATACTACACCACCAGCAGCCCTCAGAAAGCCTGCTTGGGTGGGAGGCGGGCATGGTTTGCAACCTTGATGTCGGAATAGAAACTACAATCAATAAGTCTTAAAAGGAACATCGGTTCTCTTCTTACCTTCAGCATCCTTTAGCTTAGAAAACTTTGTGTTTTTAGTTTTTAATGCTTCTTGAGGTCCGGTCGAGGACAAGGCGGCGGTGAAGAGAAAGGCCGACGTGTTGAGCGAAGGCGAACCAGGTGAAGTCGCTTGCGAAGTTGCTAGCGAAGTTGCTTCACCATAGTTGGGGCCGATTTCTGGGTTTCAACCAGCACGTGGCGTACAGCGCGTGGCCATCCTTTTGACGTAACATCTTCGGCTTTGGAAGAGCTCGATGTACTTTCTAGAACATGGACAGTTCATGAGTCACTTGAGTCATCCCAAGCCCATGATGTTCATACCTTCTCCTGCCAGCAGCGGTTGCAGCCGCCTCTTCCGGAAGTGGGTGGAGGGCTGACACATCACCCACTAGACACCGGGGCTGGTGGGTAGTTTCACGACTGTCAAAGGATTTTACGCATCCGTGACAGTCTGGGTTGGTCGTGTTTGGTACATGACCGCGATGTCAAGCTCTGCTTGGTCTGCTTTGGAGCTAACATCGGCTGTGAGTCTGTGAGTCTTAAGGGGCGAACACAACACGGAAAACGACCGTCACGCGATGGCGCAAGCGGGCGCGAGCGGGCGCAAGAGGTTGCGAGCGCTCACGAGCCGAAACCGTTGGTGGCCGACGATGCGAATGTGTCCGCTCACTTTCAGCAGTTTTGCTCACGGGTGGAATCGGCACAGTGCGACAACGCTTGTCAGAGTCTCTCGGATGCAAAGGTCGTGTGTTTTGTTTTCCTCAACAATACCTTTCTCCCCCACACAAAAGATAATTAGTTCTCCTCAAATTTTCTTTAATGGACAAGTATCTCGGAATCAGAGCTTCACATGGGATCCGCAAAAGTACGCAAAAAGACGGCTAGTGACTACAAGGGTAAGATCCAAATGACAATGTCCCGAATTCATCGAAATGCTCAGTGGACGATTGACATTTGCAGATATATCAGATATTTGCAGTCACATTGGCAGCTGCATCTCATGTTTGCCCTGCCACACTGTGGTGGCACAACCTTGCCTGGGCACACTTGTGCACTGCATCGAGGGACACGAAGTCATGTTTGCACCTGTTTCAAGCTGCTAAGTGGCACTGAGAAGCCAATTGCGCCACGAGGAGACAGAAGTGTACGCTTGCTACTTAGGACCTAGGAAGCCCACGTAGGAGATGGAAGAAAGATTCCGTGATGGAGTGGTGAGGTGAGATTTCTCCCTAAATGGCATTTTCACAGGTTACATCATCATGACAAAAGACTCACCACTTCACACATCACCATTATGATCCGTAATGGATCATGCGATGCTTGCTTTGATTCTTATGAGTTCACGACTGGGAAAGGTCTCCGGCTTAGCAGAAATTGCTGGTATGCAACGGGTAGCACTGTTGTAAGGATGTTGCCCAGAGTTTTGCAAGCCTGCCGGAACTTGGCGCCCAAGACAGCAGGTGGGACGTTGCAGTGGTTTGAAGGCTTTGTAGCGGCCTAGTCGCCCAGCACGAGGCTTGAGACAACAGGCTCTACGACCTCTTCTCTGTCCAGTTCAGCAGAGGCTGCGGATTACCAGCACTTAACCAATCTCTAGATGGACCAGAGCAGGTGTTTCTCATTGACTTCCGCAGCCAAAGTGGTAGCGACCTAAGCCATACCTGAAGTGATACCAAAGCCGCCCTTCCAATCTCGTGACACTGATGCATCAAGCGTGTCGAGGCCAAAGATCTAGCCGCAGAGATTAGCCACGAGAAGGAGTGCATTCACTGTGTATGTAAGCACGAGACGTATTTGGAATTCTCAGATTGCTTCATAGAAAAATGGATGCAGCAAGCAAGACATTGCCAAAGAGTCATTATATAAACAGCTCGCTTGGAAATGAATTGACGGGGACCTATGGCTTTTTTTGCCAGGAGCAGTACCAGCAAGCCAAGGCTTAACCAGATTGCATGCTTCAAAGCATAGACACAGAAGACCTCGAAGACTCGGCCGAGGAAATCAAGAAATTCATTGATTCGACAGACTTCAAATTGGTGGAGGCTGAGGTCAAGAATGCAGCTTGTGCAAGACGGTTGAATAAATTGTAATTGAGGATTTGTCATTCCATGTGTCGGAGTCTCATCACAAGTCTTGTCTCTTCAATGCTGGTCTTTGACCAAAGACACATGGTGTGCAGGGAGATGTGAACATGCACTTAGAACGCGAGATTGATGGCAAGTTGGTTGGAATCTCAGGGGCAGTATAGATTTTCCTTGTGGCAAGCGAACAGCTTCATTCCACCACTTGTGGTGCACTGCAGCCTGAAGGTCAAAGTCGAATGGCAACTTACGAGCCCTTTCGACCCAACAGCTGACGTGGAGGGTGAAGAGGGCGGCCAAGAATATGCCCGAGACAGAGAGCTCCAGTGAGGATCAACATCAACCATGCCCGCCATGCCCAATGCTTTTGCTGAGGAAGCCACAGACTTCTGCATCACCTTGGAGAACAAGAGTGACCCATCTGAATTGGGGGCAAATACGTTCAATTGGCATTTAATGATGCTATCTCTATATATAATAAAAATACAGCATTCATTGCTTCTGCTCTGAAACGGTTTCCAGGCAAAGGGTTTGGACCATTGTGCAGCGCCGTATCCAGGTGGTGCTGGCGTGTCCTTCTACTGCAGCACACAGACCGGTGAGGACCACCGCTACGCGTGTTGCTCAGGAGATGCACAGTTCGCTGTTTTGTAAAGACACTTCGGCAAGATCTACACGGTCTCATGAGAGTCCCATGTTTGGAAATTGTCTACGGCTTGAAGATGAAGTCTACTCAAGACTCGTATTGAAAGTGTTCTTCTTGTTCGTGATTGCTGTCCCGAACGATACTATTCAATTCCGAGCCCTCATTCTTTGGAACAAGGAACGCTTCACAAAAGCAGTGTCAATGTGCCTTGATGATCCTTGATCTCCCATACTCAACGCTGCATTGCGGGGCCGATGGCTTCTTTTGACATCGCCAGGTCATTGGCAATGTGAAATCCTTTGCCAGCAAGGAGGCAAGACCCTTTAGCCTTTTGTTTGTTTTATTCTTAGAAGATAGCAC